TTCCTTTTCATTTCAAATGTTATGACCCCTTCCGAAAAAACGAATGGTCCTTTTAATTCTATTTCAGTATCGAAGTCATTTACCTGTATGGTCTTGTAAGAGGACATTATTTCATCGCGACAATACCTAACACTCCACGTAAGCCCTCAGCCTATAAGTAATAATTAAGGAATTTCGGATATCCACCGGCATTTTAGAATATTTGACGCTTAGCCTGTTCGTGAAAACACCCGTGGTCTTCTTCCTTGCTTTGCTAAAACATGATGATAACCACGTAATACTTTCAACTTTATTCCATCCCCTTGAAGATCGTGATTTCTTCCTGCCCAACTTTCTCAGCGATCATTGCAACATTAAGTACACTATTTCTCAAATTTTAGTGATGACGATCCGTCATTTGAGAATAATCGTAGTAATGATCATAAGATGAAAAAGAGATGGACAAGTTCAAGGCCCGGGTCTTTGAGGCAAGACGTACGTTTGCACAAAAAACCAGAAATAGTATCTTTGAATATCGCATATTCACTGCTCACCCTCCACTTTTGCTATGAAAGACATTTCTTAGACATGCACTGTACAACCAGGGACCCTACATTCCATTCATTGTGAAGCTGATGATCAAATTTGTCATTCATTATTATTGGATCCTTTTATTTCCACAGATTTATAAGGACCGTCCAAACTCGAAGACTGTCAGGAAACTTCAATCTTGGAAGTCTTTTTCCGTTGTAATGCGTAGTAATTTTATTAAGTATGATATGTGACTAAAAAGGGAATACAAGTGTAATGAGCATAATACAAATCGTGGATGAACTCCTTAGACAACCAAATTTAGAAACACTCGATTGATGATAACAGAAAAAGTGAAGTACACTACAATACAGTCACTCTTCGGTGGCGAGGCACGGGAAGCGAGTTTTCTCTATTCCACTTTTTGTTGTTTTAATTCTTGGTTTCAACACTCACGTAGCTCTTATGCGATTTATCTTCGTAAATGTTGACATCACGGCCAATGAAAGTCCATGTCAGTTATCGGAATTTATCTCCGCAATATAATCAAGAGTTTCAAGAAGTTTTTGACGGAAGGGTCAACGCCTGAGAGTATGAATATCATTATCCATTTTGGACGTGACATAATGACGGGATCTTCTGTAAGCAGACTAAATCGATATGAAAAGTCAATTAATTATCATAACTGGAGATGCTTTCTTTTTATCTGCTATCGTTGTTTTATAAGTACGAGTGTGATAATATCTATAAACAGTAACATCGTTATCTTATGAGTAGAGTAGACATCTATATTTATAAAGGATAGCCTCTTTAGTGTAGTAAACATTGGTATCAACAGGGATCCTGTTACCCACCCATCCCATACCCACCCATTCCACCCCAGGGGAGGACATCCATCACACAGTAATCTCGTGCGTGGGAAATTAACGTCTCCTGCCCTAAACCCTGCAGGAGACGGGACCTCCATTTATTCGTCCCTATCTCGAGAAGACTAGAATATCTAACCATTTCTTGATGTTATAGAAAGGTAGCATATTCTTCTTAATAATTTTAAGACCGTAAGTGTTGGTCCGGCCGGGGCTCGAACCCTCGACCTCCCGCACAACAGTCCAGCGCTCTATCCATTGAGCTAACTATTAATTAAAATTTATTTTAGGTTTAAAATGTATTGTTTGGCTGACCAACAACTCACTAGAGGTTCATAACTATAATGTTGTCATGATGAAGCCTCATAAGCCAGAACATTGTGGCCAGCAGGAGCCGACGAGGAAATATTCTTCAAAAATCACTTCTTTTTCTCTTTTTTCTGGAAAGAAAATGTTTTGTTTCTAGAAGCTACCTCGTTGTGTGATTTTAAAAAGAATTTAATGAAACTATTTTAAGGAAATCTAATTTAATTTTCTTCCCGATTGTATGTAAATCTTTAGATTAGCTACTTATTATATTCTAGTTTTATGCTCATGTCGATTTTACTATTATTGTAAGTAATTTATTTAACATTGTGGCTAAAAAGCCCCTATCGGGGA